TTATCTCCCGATTAATTTAAAATTATGTAGACTCTTCGTTTATCTTAGTCCCAAGCGAAGTGTTCCCAGTAGAGGGTATGGACGGCGAAAAAATAATTAAATATTTCAACGCCCAAAAAGAAAAAGAAAAGAAAAATAGGTGCGCGATCTTCTTCTACTGGAGTGACGAGATCAAACCGATGGTTTCACGTCCGCAGACTAAGAATGTACGCTGAGCAGTGCGAGATCTGTTGGCACAACCAAGCAACAGTTTTGCTAAATAAAAATTCAACGCTCAAACGTTTCTTTTTTTCTCTTATTACCGTAGATTTCTTTTTTATACTGACGTGGGAATCGATTATTATAAACCTGTATATAATTTCATTAGAAAGAACAATCTATGCGTCTTTTCAATTTTTTTCAATTTAATGGGCATATTTTATATTTGTTTCCAGTGGAAAGCTGGTTAAACAACCCCAAAATATAAATCAAAATAATCGACAACTGCGGATTTATCAACTAAACACTCTCCCCCTCCCCCCTCCCCCCCCCCCCCCTAAACCTGCACATACAGACAAACGGATGCAGATAGTATGGAACGTCTTACCGAATTTTTAGTTGAAATATACTCTGGCCTTGTTGATTTCGAAATGTGTCCGCTAAACGAAATCACTTTGAGATCCAACTAGTGGGGTAAATAAATATAGTCTAGATTTGAATATATTATATTTAGAAAAGTACACACTTTTATTCCGAGCAAACTTCTATAGAATTCCTTGCAAGATACTTGATTGGCGATAGGACTCCAAACGGCTCAATAAAAGAGAAGTATTTCAGCCTTCCACAATACCGCGTCGTATCTCGGGAATGTCACATCGCACCTCCGCGACTGAATGCCGTACCAGAGCGTTTCGCAGGACTATTCTAATAACCTGTATCTGAAGATGAGACAGCGTTGAGTACTTCTTTCCAACTACACGTCGCGTTGTCCTTGTCGGGGCAAATAGCGACTGAATTCCCGTCCATCCATTCGATATTTCAACCGATATTATATGCGCTTGTCGTTTATTTGGTTCTGCACAGTTCGTGTTTAAATGTGATATCGTTTTCTTTCTTTTTTTTTTTTTTTGAAGTGGGCAGCATGGTTACAGTAATGTCTGGTCAATTCTCTCAATCGTCCTCCCCGTCTCTCCTCCGGAAAAAAAAATACGCGACCGTAATTGTTAGGTTCAAGAGTTTGTTTTGGACAGGGTCAGAGGAAAGTGGGTTTCGCGATAGTTACAACTGTAGGATGTCACAGACGCGGCCGTCCGCCGCTTGCGGCTTCGGGAGGAACCCGAGTCTCGGGCAGGGCAGTCCCAGACCCGGGGGATCTACGCGTTACCCCGCGGAGCCTGAACAAGCGAGGTGAGGGCAAGGGAAGCACCGAGCGAAATGCCGAGACACACTTCCCGTGTGCGTCGGGGAATTCGGAAACGAGGGGAGAATCCCGGGAAACTTGGCGGCGCGCGGGAGAGTACAGAGGGAGTCTACGCCGAGCAGCGGAGGGTGCTGGACGCCACCAAGACGCCCAGAGGTCCAGCGTGGCTCATAACACCCGTAACACACACACCACACAGATATATATATATATATATATATATATATATATATATATATATATTCATCTTGGGGCTAAGTAGGCTGTAGGCATACTTTTATAAAAGTAGAAGCCACCGAGGGTCAAACAAACTTGGAAGGTTTAATTCAACATGTATAAGTTATAGAGAAACCGCGACGTTTCGAAGGGGGACCCTTCTTCCTCAAACGGGACTTGAAAACTGAGACCTCAAATGTCGAGCGAAATACCGCAGCTTATTTCGCTCGACATTTGAGGTCTCCCTTTTCAATTCCCGCTTGAGGAAGAAGGGTCCCCCTTCGAAACGTCGCGGTTTCTCTATAACTTATACATGTTGAATTAAACCTTCCAAGTTCGTTTGACCCTCGGTGGCTTCTACTTATATATAGGGTGTTTTTTTAAGCTCAACGGATTTGTTTAAAAGAAAACTGTGAAAGCTACATTTATGCGGTTTTTTGGGGTGAGTTATACGGCCGAGGGGACATAATATATGGGGCTGACCAGAACGATCAGTCAGCTAATTAAGTAAAATTTGTTAATCAACTTTTTAATTAGTGAAAATAGACATATAGTTTGAATTAGAAACTTGATGAGCGTTATTGAAAATCACAAAATCAGTTCTTTTCAGAAAAATTTTGAGTACGTGAGAAGCGTAGTAGTGCACTAAAGTTTTCTCTCGAGGAGAAGGTACAAGGCTAATGGTTGCAGTAAGTCGCCCGCGCGATTTTTCCGTCTCTTATTGAGCCCCAGCCTTGTACCTGGTCCACGAGTGGTAACTTCAGCGCACTACTGCGCTTCTTACGCACTCAAAGTCTTTGTGAAAATTACTGATTTAGGGGTTTTGGACGACGCTCAGCAAATTTCTAGTTGGAACCATAAGACTATTTAACCAATTAAAATGTTAATGAACACATTTTAATTAGTTAGCCGTCTGATCGTTATAATCAGGTTCATATACTATGTCCCCCTAGCCGTATAACGCACCTGAACAAACCGCATAAGTGCAACTTTCACAGCTTTTTTAAACAAATCTGTTAAGCTTAGAAAAACACATGTATATATATATATACAGGGTGTCACAAATGAAAATTTACACGGTCTTTTTTACCGCAAAAATAAACTAGGCACCGCCGAACGCTCATTCTCCGCCCAAAAGTAGAGCTAGAGGTCACAACCAGATGCCAAAGTTTCAGCCCGATCCGATTACTTAATCAAAAGTTATAACTGATTTTCTGAAAATTTCAATGGGAAAATGGAGCCCATTTTTGCCCGTTTTCGGTTTCTGGTGCCATAGAGCCCCATGTGTTCGAAAACTCTGTCGGCCACCATTTTCCCATTGAAATTTTCAGAAAATCATTTATAACTTTTGATGAAGTTATCGGATCGGGCTGAAACTTTGGCATCTGGTTGTGACCTCTAGCTCTACCTTTGGGCGGAGAATGAGCGTTCGGCGATGCCTAGTTTATTTTTGCCGTAAAAAAGACCGTGTAAATTTTCTTTTGTGACACCCTGTATATTCCTAACCCTTACCCGGGGTGTCCCCGTGCTTCCTCGCGATCTCCATCGATCGCGATCTCCATCGCCATTCGTGTTGCCATCATCTCATCTGCGGCAACCCCACAACAAAAACTCTAATTGTACACACAAAGAAATCTTCTTAGTGACACCGTCTGCTCTGTGGCGATAAGCGCGGTGAAACGTCATACTCAGCAGTGTCACAGCGCACACTATTGCTTCTTTAGGTCAAAACATATTTTCACTTTCCTCATTCGCCGAACTTCCTCAGATCGCAACGATTGGCTCTCTCAAGTGCTTTGCGGGAAAGTAGACGCTCCGGATTTCTTAAGCAGTGGGGTTGAAATGCAACCGGCAGACCGAACATGCGCGCTCTTTGAAGAGAATCATCGTTCATCAAATGGTTCATGTCACCGACGGTACCGACGGGATAAAAACGGCAGGCATGTCTTTCAGTCGTCCCGCCTCCAGCGCGAGCCTCCCCACCTTCCGTCACTTCGGCGTTTTATGAGCCACGAGCGTGCACGCGCAGTCAAGGCACGACGGAAGAAAAGGGGCGCGTGCAGGATCCCGGACCTCGGAAAGATCCGCTCTCATCCAGTGAGTGACAACTGGCGCCGAGATGTTTCGGTGGCGTCCACTTATGGTTCCCCTCCGTGACGTCACGTCGCGTCGCACACGTTGTCAATAACTGGACAAGAAGCAGAGGGCGTCGTTTCCGACTTCCGCCGTACTTTGACTGCGCTTGCCCGCTTGAAGCTCACGAAATTCGTTATCGAAGGTAGGAAGCTTGCTGTGGAGCACCGTGCTCTGGAGGAAAGACAACTGGAAGATCTCGCTGTCGTTTTCATGCAAAGGAAGCCAACGTATGGCACGTGCAGCGACCGAGCGGCGAAGCTACTGCCTTAGCCTTCTCTCAACTCTCAAAGCCTGGCAGTTCGACGACGGTGGAATAGACTGCCCGGTCGCAGATTTGGAGCGCGAGCATCTGGTAGCACAGAGCATTTCTCGGGGAACCTGGTCGTCAGCGCACAGCATTTGCAGCGGCGAGGTCCCGAAACATGGTTTTCAAACCCGACGAGGAAAGAGGCGGTAGCGCGAGGAACGCGAGGAACGTGAGCGGACATTCCATCGCTCAGGAGAAGTGTGTTTCGGCGTCTCGCCGCAGCGGAGCGCCCGTCACGTGGCTCTCCTCTCGTGCGTTGCCTGCCGCTCTACCTTTTCAGTTTCGGCGGCCGCTTGTCGAGGCGATCTGCCAGGCTTTGTCAAACCATACACTCGTATGTGCGGCTCATTCACACTTTGCAGCCAATGCCGCAAGCACAAGAGCTCGAGGTCGCTGCTTTGTAGCGTTCTTCCGCCGAACGAGCGCTCGCGCTAAAAATGCGTGTCTCAAAGCCAGGAGTGTGGGCTAGCTCGCGCTTGTATAGCTTTGGATGCAGTCTTAGCTTAAGCTTGAATGGAGTATATAGACATACAAGTAGCAAGCCAGCTGCCGTCATGTGCAGAGCGCAGGTGCTCGCACGCTTGATTCCAACCGCCGGATCTGCGCCGGATATGATAGGTATGACCATACAACACGTCGTTATCACCTCGAACATTCCAACGAGCGTGATGCAAGCGACCAAATGGCCACTATACTACGGCCGTGAGTGAGTGAAGGCTTGTGGAAGCCAATGTGTGGTGGACGGGCTGGCCTCGTTCGGGTTCGCACGAGTGCACGTGCGAGTCAGGTAGGGGCCAAAGAGCTAAAGATAACGGAGCAGCGCCCACATAAAAAAAAATCAGGCGTTGACGATCGGTATTGGTGGAGTTGGTCGGATGTGATTAGGTAAAGCTGATTAGATAGCATAGTTAAACGCGAGACCTCTCCAGAACTTTTAGATAACCGTGCGTCAGTGCTCGGGGGATATACGGTGGCGTCGCTCGTTGTGGTTTCTCGGTCTGCGGCGAGCAGGCGTCAACGGCAAGGGGATGCTTTTCGGTACGTAGAAAGCGACATTGTTGCCATTGTATAGACCTTTTTCACGGCAAACGCCACCAGGCGGTGCTCCAGTCTCTGACGTCCAAGGGACTTCCGGTTCATAAAAACGATGAACAAAGCCCATCTTAACGCCCCTGTTTGAAATGTCGATAAAACATATAACCCCAAAATTCTCCAGGTGAACGCCAAAAGAACGAAGAGGCGCGAGACCTGTTAACATCTGTCAGATATCCTTGTAAAGCAACTTGTCTCCTCCAAGACGTTAAATTGTACAACCGAAAGCCCTCGTTAAATCTCCAACCTTGTTGTCCGCGCAATTATGCTTTCTAGTACTAGCGACATAAGCAAGCTCGGCAGGCTTTCAACGACGGAGCAACCGCAAGTCGCTCGGGATGCAAGCGGCAGTCCATGCATGCTTTTAAACAGCACAAGTGTCTCTATCCATATCTATAGACTGTGTGCGCGAGATACGACTGCCTGTTATAACACACCTGTCAGACGACACCATTCGGAGCCGTAAAGTGCTGTATGACCTATGTTCGTAAAAGGTGTTTACACTGTAAACTAGGATTGCATATACAGAGTGTTTCATTTTAATTCCAACAAATTAAAAAAAAATTAAAAAAAAAGTGAAAGGTTCAATAATGCGGTCTGCACCCGCACTTCTTATGAACAAGACCCAATTCCGTCCACTTTTCTGCAGAAAACACATACAGCCAATTATCGCGTTCTGAATGAAAAACGCAGCGAATAACATGGTCGAAGACACGATTCTCCGTAAAGGAGCGATCTGATCAGAGAGCGATTTCGCGTGAAGACGTTATTTCTCTCCCGTATATTTTGTTCGGTTGGATGATGCAATAAACTTGGAAGTCAGCGCCAGCCCTGTCGTACGTGGGCCTTTTTTCGTCCCTGTCAAGTTCGCACGATTTTAATCGTGTCTAATACGAACCAACTAGCCCGATCAAGAGTCGTGATACAAGATTATCATCAGAGTTGTTGTACCTTTCACGGCTTCTTTTTTATTTTATTTTATATATTCCTTGAATTAAAACCAAACACCCCGTATATGTTTCGTGAATTTTGCGCCGATAATATTTTAATCGCGGGTAATCGTGAAAAGATTGACCTTTAAAATATACCGTCCACAAAACTCGGCCTGTGACCACTATCATCAGTGACAGCTTAAGAAACGAAAAAGGTGGCTCATTAAAATGATTTTTTCTTTTGCGTTCTTATTATTTAATGCCGAAATCTCGTTGCATTCGAGGCAATAACAAGATTCTCAAGAATCGCCCAGCGTATTCCGTGACTACAGGTGACCCCAAACCGCATAATGTTTCTAAAAACTATAGAAAGAAATTTTTGTTTTTTCTCTAAGCAATGAGCACGGGGATATACCGCCGTTTAAAGTATGCGATGAAATTCCTCAGCGGAGGGACGTTTCGCAATGAGAGATATCTTCCGCCACTCGCAGGAATTCAGCTGACGAACAACATCATTATTTTGTTCGCTTTCGGCTTTATCTGAACAGCTGATTGTAAACAAAAGTTCGTTGTCTTCTTTCTTTCTTTTTTTTTTTTTTTCTTCTTTATTTTCTTCGACGGCGAGCGGTGCGACGTTACTAGTCAACTTTGCTGAGGAGATATATGGCACTTGTGGAAGGTCAAAAATACCACGGTTTCGGAATTGCTCGTTGTTTTACTCTCGTTTTTGTTAAAACTTATATAAGCGAAAAAGCTGCTCGCTGAAGTCGTCCAACAGCACTAGGTTTAGCAGCCGAGTGTTTTTATTTGAAATACCTATTTTTTTATTTTTGTTTACATCAGTATTAATAGACCTATAAGGAGTATTCACTGGGCGCCATATTTGTGGGTGCTGTCTAGAGCGCATGCTCAGAACTAGCCCACATTAATAGGCTGCTAAGACCGGTAATCTTGAGGGTGCGGAATGCACGTTACAAAGGAACTGTGGAAGCTCGCCATCAGCACGCGCTAAGCTGTCGCGCACACAGCTATGGCCGCCAGTGAATACTTCCTATTGGTAAATTACCCAAGCACCAAGGAGAATGCAGGGAATGGTGTTCTACGCGCCCGCATGTGCTTCCCTTCCCCCTATAAAATATTCGAAGTAAATAACCAAAATGAGGCGTTGTCGAACGCGCGTGGAAGATGCCATTTGTTTTAGGCTTTTGCTTTAGAGCAGTTTTACTGCTGCAGACGCCAGCACGTGCACCGCGTAGAACATCATTCCCAGCGTTCTCTTTGATGCTTGGGTAATTTAGGAATAGGTTTAACGTTCGATGGGTCGTGACGGTCGTGAATATTTGCAAGTGCCACGTCCATGTCTGAATCTTCGCATCTGCCGCGTCATTTGAGCCGCTAGTGATGACAAAAAATAGCGAAAGAATCTGGGGACAAACCTCGAGCATAATACATGTTCGAAGCGCACGTTTGCTTCGTCATGCACACGTCTGCTTCCAACATGTCTGTAAAAGACAGTTCTTGGACGACCAATGGTACAAAACCGTCTTACAAAGAAAAAGAAAACCAGCCTGAGGCAGTGTCTTCAGCCTATCTTTGGTACGATGTATTGGCTGTATGCGGAGAGCAAGTCGTCTGCTTCTTGCGCAGGGGATTACGGTGACGTCAGAACGACGCTGATCTGTGATTGGCTTTGATTGAAAGGATAGTGGGTAGACCTCAATGACAAATGCCTTGAGGTCAACCTTTTTTTTTTTTTTTCAATCAGTTAATAAGAGTTTGGCGTTCTGTCCTCATCGCCACCCCTCTGCGAGAAGCAGACAAACTTGCGCTCCGCATAGCTTGAGAACGACTGCATTCTACTGGGGGTTGCTGCGATCTCGTGTGCCACTCGGGAATAATAAAATAAAATAATCAAAGTACAAGTTAGATACTCTATCGTAGTCCCTGACAGCTGAACGAGGACAGTGCGTGGCTTACTGTATTCGCGACTCCAGCAAAACGGACGCCACCAAGCGGGAAAACCGGGAACCAGCCGGTCCAGGTCGCTCGCGCACCTCCGCGTCTCTGGTGGCTTTCGCGGAAGCGTGTAGTCGGCGCGGTCGCGAACACTGTAATTTGACGAAGGTCCGAATATTTCTTAAAGGACACATGCAAAGGAAAAAAACATTTTTTTTAAACGGCTTGGATGGAAAAAGGACGCCATAAAACGATTTTACAACGAAGAAAAAAAAATGTTAGAGCTATATTTACGGCGCAAAACGAATTTGTAGTTGGCGCCCGCGGGCACCGCGGAAAAGTGGTCTGTATTTATCACGTGACTGGTCTTTATTTATCACGTGGTGCTTGCGCTCTTTCGGAAGCTTCCTATGGCCTCTAAAAGTAACTTATTCATCTTTGTTTGAAGTATAACAAAAAACCAAGACGAATAAGTAACTTTTAGAGCCCAAAGGAAACTCCTGAAAAAGCGCAAGCAGACGTGATAGACCTGTGCGCCGGTCAGACGACGGCGGCGGCGCCCCGAAGCAGACGAACTTGTGCGGCGGCGGCGACGGCGGCGTGGAGAAACGCGCTGAAGCGGCGTTCGCACAACGCTCAGCGTGCGGCGGCGACGCAGCGCGGCGGCGCGCGGGCGTACCACGTGACCAGCGGCGGCTCCCGCGAGCGCCAACTACAAATTCGTATAGCGCCGTAAATGTAGCTCTAAAAATTTTGTTTCTTCGTTGTAAAATCGTTTTATGACATCCTTTTTCCATCTAAGCTGTCTAAAAAAATTTTTTTTTTCCTTTGCATGTGTCCTTTAAGTTTGCCTGAGCGATCATTAGTGTGGTGAAGCCTCAGTAGATTGTTTTCTTCTATTACGTGTTTGAAAGCCCGTTTATTCCACAGCACACGGTCGCGTGCTTTCGATTTCTTGGATGGGGAGGAATCACGGAAAAACGTTTTGAGTTCTTGTCTGTCTCAATTCACATTCAAAGTGACGACTACTTGGTAACTGATAAGTGGTTTCTTTATAAGGATGTAGAACAGTGGACTGAGGACGACAGGCGAGGCATTTCACTGGAGGGAATATCAATGTTGCAGTCAAGTGAATGGGAAGGTTCGATAGCTGCTTTCCTTGAGTTTGGTTGTGTTCGGCTACAGCTTTAAGTTTGAGCCACCCACCCCGGTCGGTTCGTTGGCTATTCATCTTGACTGCTTTTCGCCGGAAAAGCCTCTGGACCACGCTGAAGGTGTTGGGCTGATTTCGCAATTACTTGATTCAGGAAAACCTGCTCGCTGCAAATTATGAATGATGGAAATGATCTGCTTTAAAAAAGGTGGGGGACGAGTCTCGCAACGTTAGATGCTGTCACGGCATTTTGACCTATCGCGCCTCCAATATTTATATTACGAGGACGTCGAAGCCAGCAGCAATATACGCCGCTCAGGTTGACCGGCCACAAAAAATGCTAATTTTTTCCGTTCAGGATTCGAAGCAAAGTTCAACGCAAAGAGGTTCTGCGTGAATGTTCGATGAAGACTTTCTTCAGTTTGTCTCCGTGCTGCCGGTTATAGAACCATTTGGCTAAGTTTAAGTAGTATCTCTCTTTCTTTCAAATATACTTTTATTCAACAGCTCACCTAATAGCTAGTCAACTCATATTTCAACCAGAAGAATATACTAATATCACCTTAGTGGGCATAGTACGTAATATAATACATAACCCGCTCGTCAAAATATCTTCTCGATTGCTACTAAAACCTGAATTGAAATACGAGTATAAGCTGCTTAGTCGGGCGCCAGCGGGTTAACAGGGTCCTTGACTCAAGAAGCGCTTGCTTTATTTTCGTAATTTTCCTGCAGCCTGTGTTGTTGGCCGAGCAGACGACTGGAGCTGTTTCTTAAACGCGGATTCGCACGAAACCTGGATTTCGCGAACAGATAATTCGCATGGTCGAGGCATGTGAGTTAGCTGAAAAGTTACTCTCTGTGGAACAGGTCTGTAGTCATCGCCGCTTTCCTTAGATGACCAAAACTGATTAGTATATTACCGCCTCTCCGGAGTCCATGGTTTCGGTTTTGAATGAAATCTCCGAAACGAACGTTTGACACGAAAAGAACAAAAAACACCGGCAAAACAAAAGTATGCTTTGCAAATTTATCTGCACGGGCTACACTTAACCGTCTCAGTTCAAATACCTATAAAATTGGGCATTAAACAAAAGAAAATCTGTTAGATTGAACGCGCCACCTGTTCAGGCGGCCCGGCCGAGCCGACGCGACCTGGACTCAGCCGCCATGTTTGTTTGGTGGTGGCGCCCCCTATAGGTCGCTGGAGTCGCGAATATGTCCGCACTTCTTGCTTCGTTCTCCGGCGTCCTTGCCGGTGCCATTTGATTGGCCGTAGAACGACAAAAAAAAAAAAGTGTTCACGTCTGGCCCTGGGAGGGCTGCCGATGAGAGTATCTTATTTTTTGAACGACTCGCGAGGTACTTACGTGGGCCGAGATATTGTGTGAAACACGACCTACGAGGGCACAACAATCGTGGAAAAATAAAACTCTAAAGTGAAGTTTTTTTGTTTTTTTTTGCACGATTTGTTGGTTAATGAATGCTGCCTTCCTTTTTTTTTTTCTCTCTCTCTCTCTCTTTCTTTTTTTGTCGCGTGATTATCATGACACCGAACTCGAAATATATGAGAAGTAATGTACCGTCTTAGTTACATCTTCATTAAAAAAAAAAAAAAAAAAAAAAAAAAAAAAAAAACTATATTATAATTTAAAAGAAAAACTGTAAAAAGGTTTTCGAAAGAAAAAGAAAGAATTGGAGGTGAATTTTAGAGTGTTTTTCTCCCGTGAATCTGAATATCACGTACGTTTTCCCCAAAGATGTAACATAACGCGAGAAAACACGAAAAACTTCCGACCAGTCGTTTCGTCATAAAAGGATTTTTCGGCCGCTAGGAGCGTGTCGCTCATGTGGACAGCGGGTGCAATTGCAAGCCTGCCAGACATACTCCCCCGCACTAACACTAGTCTTAACGTCTTAATTCTTTATCCTTTTTTTTTTTTTTTTATTAATAGCGAGAGTGCGCTAAAATAGCTTTATTGGCGCCGAAGATGCGCGAGATCTGCGATTCCGAGAACTCATTTTATGACGTAAGGATCTGAGAAGGAGGGGCTTAAGCGGTACTTTGAAAATGATTTTCTGCAGCCTCCATGCACCAAATTAAAATAATAATCTCAATATTCGTGATTCTGGAGGCTAAATGAAGACGATTTAAGCGTTTTTACATAAATACAAAACCTTTTTTTGTTTGTGTGTGTTTTTTTTTAGTGGCAGAACACAATTTACAGTTACGGAAACGTTGCAAAAACGCTGCATTAAAAAAATAAGCAAAAAAAAAAAAAAAAAAGCTTGCAGGCGTTGGTGTGAGAAGAGGAACTGCAAGCACGTAACTTCCGAGGTTTCTAACGTCACGTTTATCCGCGCTATTTCTTTTTTTTTTTTTACGTTTATTGCAAGATTATGTTTAGAAACATGGTTTTCTTAACACTGTACTTTAGTGCTTTGTACCAAAAAAAGAATTGTATGAATAACAGTTGTTCTTTAAAGCGTTAAACGTGACCTTATGGGGATGGTAACCACTTCTAGTTTTATAACCGCTCTTCTTTCTTTCTTTCTTAGAAGGGGGGGAGGGGGGGGGGGGTGGCGTTTTTTTAGAAAATCAAAAGTACGAGAACGATATACCCTATTTTCTGGACTATATATAGTCCGCGGACTATACATGTTTAAAAGCTGAAATTTTACTCGGTGCGGACTGCCTACAGGTGCGGACTATACAAGGTCTTATATTTTTCGATTTCGTTCACTGTGACAAAACGCGAAGGACTTTATGACTAACAGAGTATAATAACAGTGATTTAGGTATCATGCAAGCTCCTTTGCGAGCTAATACAGCAGGCACTTGTCAAGGTGTGCTGTGTGTGTATGATAATTGTTCCGTTCGGATTAGGCACTACCTGCGGACTATGGTGCAACGAGTGCGGACTATCTAGGCAAATACTTTTATTTTTGACCCCAAATTCGCCCCTGCGGACTATAGTTAAAAGAAAAACGGTAATTACAAATGATCTTCTCGGCGCATTCTCTGTTATTTATTTATTTGGCTTGTTGAGTGGCTTCATGTGTCTCTTGTTCTCTCCGGGTTCCAGTGGACGACGCAGTGGCATCATTGGCAGCTCCCTTTAATTGGGACTTCCTGCACAGCTGGAAGCATGCCCGGAGGCTGATCGCGAACCGAACGACTGCCCCAGCGGGGCCCTGGCAGCCTCCGCAAGGTCCCCTTCAGTGAGTACCGAACACTGCCAGATGCTTCTTGGGATTCTCGATTTAAAAATACTTTCAGAACGATCGGTGACACCGGCGAAACTTTCCATCCGACCTATACTCTCACGGGGCTTGTTTTTGTACTATCGGAAACATTATGAGCGTGAAAGCGCCTCCGCTTGTCGACGCTCATATTAGGGAGTTTTCGTAGACCGCGTTGCCCCCTCCGCTAAGCGTTTCGCAACGAAGAAGTTGCTACTAGGGAGTTTTCGTAGATCGTTTCCGCTCTCCCGCAACGCTCTCCGCAACCAGCTACGCTAGCCGCAACTCCACAGTCAAAGCCATCGGTGCGCCGGCGCAGTAGCGTCTTCTTCATTGCGGAGGGCTTAGCGGAGTGGGAAACGCGGTCTACGAAAACTCCCTACTGCGCCTGCGCGTCGATAGCCTTGACTGTAAAGTTCCCGCTATCGTAGCGGGTTGCGGAGGGCCTTGCGGGACGGCGTAAACGATCTACCAAAACGCAATATTGTTTCCGATAGTACACCACGTGCTCTAGGCGTTCCTGCACGCTCGGGATTACGTGATTCCACCGACTTTCACATTTTTGAGTTTTGACACCGAACTGAAACGATTAAAGATATAGTCACTGAAGTGCAGCTAAAACAAACAAAAACGCCATAAGGAGTGTTCAGCAATCACTACTTTACTATGATTGGCTAATCAATTGCGTAAAACGCAGCGCCTCCTTATAAGAAAACTATGAAACGCTGGACCAATTTTTTTTAATATGTAACACGCACTGAAAGAGTGTACAAAAAAAGGCACATAAATTTTTCTTTGCCTGTTTCTTTTTTCAGTTTTTACGGTGCATGTTTTATACAAAATATGTCAAACCAGGTGGCACCTAGCAGCATCAGTGAACCTAACTCGGAAGCTTTAGTCAGGAACCTGCGTTTCTTTGGTGGGACTTTTAGTTTCGTGGTTGTAGAATACCTAGCAGTGTTATACGTATCCAGACAATGCTGAAACATTTCTAAACCAAACAAGTTATTCTGGCCTTACCAATCTAATAAGCTGTCAATAAACCTATCTACCGTGCTGGCCCTGCTGCTTTGTTGGTGGCGGCGCCGCGCCTAATGGAAGAGAAAGGGAACAGGCTTATTGGTTGCCGTCATCAAAATTATGCAGAGTTCCACTGTGACGTCACACCCATCTCTCCCTCTCCATCTCTCTCTCTCTTCTTTATTTCTGCCTTTTTTCTCAACAATTGTTTGTATCGGTGGTTTGTCTTTAATAGATCCCTTTCAAAAGTCGCGTGCCGGTTATTAGAAGCTAGGAAGCGCTCAGGCACAAGGGCGGTACATATGATATGTAGAACGTGCAAGTAATACCATAAGGTAGCGAACGTCGGAGCGTGGCCAGCACTGGGAGCCGACGAGTTAATCAAACAGCGTTGAGAGTGCAACGTCACTGCGCTCATCACCTTTTTCTGTGGGTGTGCTTTTGCCTTCTAATCCACACAAATATATAGAGTGTGCCGGTTGCGATTTAGTCCACCATCGTGCAGGGATTCCCCTGCTGCCAATGGAGGGCAGTCTTTCGAAAGGGGTCCGTTTCACTCTGGAAGCTTCGCACCGGAGTGCGGTGGTGTATCACCACTGCATGGTGCGCGACAAAAAGACCCCAGGCTAGCGGTAGTACTGCACTGGCTAAATTGCTCACCTACAGCCGAGACACCAGACGCCCATTGGGGCTGACTAACGTCCGGCTGTATAAAAATACAACATTATTATTATGCGTTTGTCGAGGTTCGCTCGCTATATTTCGAGAATTCTTATGAAATAGTAAAATTCCGAAGAAAACTATATTTAAAATTTTATCGTAATTTGACGTTTGCTGCTTTTCTTGTCCAGCCGGGAATATGTTTCCTACAAACTCTTATAAAGATTTTCTTTTTAAATGTTTGTGCAGTTTCACGGCAGCCTCGAAACATGACACATGTAATCAATCACTCGATCTATTGACAGGACCAACGGTCGCGTACTGATTGTATATGACCGGACGCTGTGCACCCGGGAGGAAGACGATCCCAACGATGCTATCGTCTATTTTCATCCGTCCCAGGTAAGCCGAAGCCCACTGGGCCAATATAGAATGCTTTGTGATGTTCGCTAACGTGTTCGCCAATTGTTGCGTACTTGCACCACCTGTCGAAATCGCGAAACTCGCTAAATTAAAAAAAAACAAGCCCGTGCGTCTACTTTCCCGCACAACACTTGGAGAGCTAATCACCCCAACTAACGGAGGCAGCTCAGCGAATGACGATGCCGAAACATATGTTTAGACCAAAAAACGCAGTCTGAGTTGTGACATTCAGCAATGCAAAACGTCACGCTTGCACTGCATAATGTCACAACACAGACTGCGCTTTTTGGTCTAAACACATGTTTCGGCATCGTCGTTCGCTGGGCAGCCTCCGTTAGTTGATGTGATTGGCTCTCCAAGTGTTGTGCGGGAAAGTGGACGCACGGGCTTTTCTTTTTTTTTTTTTCAGAGTGTATAGGCCGCAGTGCTGAAATTTTGACGTCAGGCTACAAGCAGGCAGCCAGTGCGGGGCGAACACAAAATGAAGACGAGTGCTGCGTCGACGTTCGGCTGGGAACTGGTATTCGATCGGTGGAAACCAGAAATGTCCCAGCGGAATTACGCCGACTACAGCTTTCGTGTCCAATATCTCACTGGCCGCTTGTGCGTGAGGTGTGAAAGCCCAGTCCCGCGGCCTCGCTGTTTGGAAAGTGTTGATATTGTAGTCACTGACAAGGTGAAAACGACCGGGAGGAGCTTCACTTGTCCCTCCTCCAGCTCGAGCAACGCTACGGTGTTTCGTGCACGTCGAGCGCGAACGCGCGCAGCCAAGGGCCACGGCGGAAGGCGTGGAGCGCGTGCTGGAGCCCGCGCGTGCGGCGTTCCAAAGACACGTCGTTCTCACTCTATCGGTGGCCAGCCAATCGGATCCATCCAGCAGCGCCGAACGCGCAATATCGCGACGTTCGTCGTCTTCCCGCTCATTGCGTTAGCTCGGGATAGTCCGATCACGGCCCGTTCCCACAGTCCATAGCGTTTGACTCTGACCGAATGAGACAAGACCATAAAGACCCGTTCACACACTCGCGACTCCTTAGAACCGAGTGCCTTGAAAACTCTTAAAAGTTCTTAAGACGAGAGAACACACTGGCACGCTGGCACCATCTATGCGGTGACCCTGGAACTGCATTCCACTAGAGCAAATGTTTTGCGAGATTTCCGAGGTCCAATGTGCGTAATGCCTATGAGAAGTGGTCGTTTATGACGTTGACAGAAGTTTTTCGAACCAAGAAAGAAAGGATGATGCGCGAGAGAAATAGAAAATATGCGGGACCGCCAATTTCCCACTGCTACTCAATATATGGCGCCATTGTGTCCTCTCGTCCTAAGAGATACTAAGGGGTTCCAAGGCACTCGGTCTTAAGAAGTCGCAAGTGCTTGAACGGGCCTAACGGCCCGTTCACACACTTACCACTTCGCACCCAGTTCCAAAAGGTCGCAAGAGTGTGAAAGGGCCTAAAGGCCCGTTCACACTTTTGCGACTTCTTAGAACTGGGTGTCTTGAAACCTCTTACAACGAGAGGACACACTGGCGCTATCAATTGGGCAGCAGTGGAAACTTGGCGGTCCGGCATATTTTCTATTTCTCTCGCGCATCATCCTTTCTTTCTTGGTTCGAAAAACGTTTGTCAACGTTATAAACGAGCCTTTCTTATACGTATTACGTACATTTGACCTCGAAAATCCCGCAAAACCTTCGGTTTTGTGAAATGCAGTTCCAGGGTCACCGCTTAGACGGCGCCAGAATGCCAGTGTGTTCCCTCGTCCTAAGAAATTTTAAGAGGTTTCAACGGGTCTCGTCTCTCTCGGTTGTACTCGATTGCCAGAGCAAGAGAGTGAACGGGCCTTTGCACCTCTTAGGGCGACTTACGACCAGATGCACAGCAATGCAGCGGGTCGCAAGCCGTCACAATAGGTTTAAAAACCGGTCTTGTCTCAGTCGGTCGGAGTCAAAAGCAAGTATGTGAACGGGCCATCAGGCGTCCAATCAGGGGGAGAGGGTGCGTCGTGTTCTTGTGTTTTAACGTATGTGCAATGTTTATGCGCCCCTCTAGTGTTTGACTGGAGGGACACACCGTGTTATGGCGAAATCATTAATTTACCGCATTCCACTCGCGTAAATCGCATATGACCAAAGCGTACGCGATAAAAGGGAACAAAAAAGGACCATAAAAGTTCCTAAGCGAAGCTGAATATGTGAGGTGTCATGCGTCGTCTTGTGTTTTATATTGCATTCTTACGTCGATCGCATGTTCTACGTTTGTCATTCGCAGCCGATCGGATTTATCCAGTGATCTGTCCAAGCGCGTGTATTAAAAAAAAAACTATTTTTTTTTACGCACGCTGCGCAGATGCCCGTCGACCAGAGGTGCGACCTGTGCTGCCAGCTGGTGGGAATGGTCCACTTCTTCGACTCGTGCTTCGACACCCCCGAGCTCGTGGCGTTGAGCGACATGCGCTTTGCCATCCGGCTGCTCGGCGATTACATCGTCGTAAGTTTTTAAACTGCCGCGAAACGTCATCGTAAAACGTATAATGAGTCGTGACGAATTAAATTATATCTCAGGTCCCGCGGTCTATCTTATCTTGAGGATGACAGACAAGGTATACCATTCAGGTTTCCGGACACCGAAGTATACCGACGATTGGACACGCCAGACAATATATTTATAGATGGATGGAAAGAAGTAGGACACTCTTAATCTTTATTTTAGTAATAATTAGTAGAGTACTGCGAGAGGAGCTTGTCACGCCTTTCTTAACCTGCAACGGAGTAGAGTGATATTTCATTCCTGGTAACTTTTATGTAGATCCTACCAAATTGTAAAAAAAAAAAAAAAAAAAAGTACAAACACAGCGCTATCACTGCATTACGTGCTCGAGCAACCATGATCTGGACACACTTCTAGTGAGATAAGCTTTTTTATGTATCTATTTAATGAAATGCGCCGATCACTAAATATACTTTCATGTACTGCACAAGCTTCACCACGAAAGATATGCTATACGATGAAGCATGATGTACACTTACACACATATACACTTTCGAGATGTCCGGAAACGTCCGTCGGCTAAATGAGAACACGCTGGAACAAATTTGTTCTTGAAGAGCGCGTAAGTACACAACGACGCAACATGGTGAACATGGGCGGCGTCAAATACGCAGTGTTCGCGATTGTGCCCCTCCACTGCTCCGCTGTCATTGATAACGCCGAGGAAGTTGCTCGAGGAGGATCACTACAGCTAAGCCCTCGAAAAAACGCGGACAAACAATAACGCACGGTTTACGAGCTTTCACTCATTTTGATTTGTTTAACACGGAGATTAAGTGGTTCGTTGTATTCAAGACCTATTCGCGGTGAAAAGCTCGCTAGGGGCCCTTCTGGTTTCCTCACTATGGGTAGTGCGCATGCTACACATGCGTTTAAGTTTTAATTTTCATAGTGCATAGGAGCTTGTCATTGCACGTGCCTGCACCAGCGGAGGAAGTTGAAGTTTCCTCACTCTGGGCTGTGAAAGAAATTTTACCAGGCGTCGATTCCGAAACTTCTCGCCGGGAATGCAATAGACCTATAGGGAGTATTCACTGGCGGCCATATCTGTGTGCGCGGCTGCTGAGCGTGTGCTGACGGCGAGTTTCCGCAGTCCTTTTGGAGCGTGCATTTAGCACCATCAAGGTTGCCGGTCTTACCAGGCTATTAATGAGAACTTGTTCTGGCCATGCGCTCTAAACATCGCCCTCAAATATGGCGTCCAGTGAATACCTCCTATTGTTAAATTACCCAAGCATCAAGAATAATGGAGGGATTGGTGTTCCACGTCTCACACGCGCACGCCTTCCCCGTATAAAAGATTCGAAGTAAATAACCAAAATAAAGCGTTGACGAACGCGCGTGTACGATGCCATTTGCTTTAGGCATTTGCTTTAGAAAAGTTACTACACTGCTAAGGCCAGCACATGCGGCGAGTGGAATACCAATGCCTGCATTCTCCTCGATGCTTGGGCAATTTAGGAATAGGTCTATTTGAAATAAGTACCCCTTCTAGAATTTATTAGATGGGACCGTATATCTCGTCATTTTCTTTTTACACTGAATAACGCGTTAACCTTACGAATCAGCTCCACTTAATATACCGATGTCACCAGCCCTGCCGCAAAGCATCGAGGGAACTTTGTAGTCTTCTTGCGCGTGCGACAACCTCGCTGGAGTTCTGCGCGTGTATAGAGTACGGAACGGCACGAGGCGTCTCAAGCACTCCTTCCTCTGAACTAAATTTATGGCTGCCTCACGCATGCGCCAAACACTTGGGGAGATCGGTCTATTGGCGACTTCGAGCGAATCCGCCTACCCAGCGAAAGGGCCAGGCTTTAAAATGTCCGTGACCGACTCCATTTCACCTTACGTCAACCGGAGCGAAGAGCGCGAGCTCATTACGTTGGTTAATGTACGAGATCTTTTGCCGCCGAGATGTGCCATGAGCAAGGAGCTCGCGCTTGCAGTCTTTCGTGCGGTACATCATAAGGTGAAAAAGAGTATAGCCAGTGCGCCTATCTTCACTTTCTTTCACGTTGTCTACGAGCGCGTGGGATGTAGGAGGCAAGAAATAATCGATACAGGGTGGTGGAAGCTACGAGCTCGCCAAACCGGTCAGTCGCCTTCCTTCACCTCACCCCGCTCTCTGCGCGTCTGTATAAGCAGGACACTAATCATGTGGCAGTAGATAATCGTACGACTTGATTACGTCAAGTTTCATCCAACATTCTGTCACGTCTTTCTTGTCACCAAACTCGAAATGTCAAAATTACAATAGTTAGTTTCCCCTTTTCATTTATGAATGGTTAAAAGGGCGGTGCAACTATATTAAATTTAAATGGCTTTCACTTTACACGAGCTTACTGGCACTATCATGGGACTCAAGGATACTCGCATGCAACGACACTAGCCAAGAAACTCCTTTGTTGCGGTGTAATTTCAAGGACAACAGCGAGCGTTTTCATTCAATCTCTCCTTCGAGAAACTTGTTGCCGTAACTGGGGGATCGCAGTTTCCTCCAATGACGATATTTTAATGCGGCTCATAGATTAGACCCGAGCATTGCGTGGGCACTGGATTTGGGCTCTTGATAATCGATAGCTCGAGAAGCATTCGGGCCCATGTCCAATCGCTGCAATGACGACAGTGAGCCGAGCCATAACAATGCCTGGAACTCAGCGCGTGTTCTCTGCCTTGCCAACCTGTTTCTGTGATCAACAGTGACGGCACATGATTGGCTCCATATCACGTGACTGCTTGTTCTGACTGCGTGTTGAGAGAGTGAACGCTGCTCGTTTTTCTTGAATTTTTTTCTGGGACTTCTATTGCGTGGGGTGAAAAACGAACGGGTGTATCGCAGGTCATTAACGTCAGGGATCCATTCTAAGCGGTATTTGCGCAAAGTACAAAACTCGTTGCATCACCCCTTAAAACTGGGTGGTTGTACTGGGCACACCATTTAAAGAAAAATGTTACAAAACATATATTTTTCCTACGTGCCACGATGCTTTAGAAAACCTTCATCAGCTGGCCTGTGTCCTGACAGGGGCTTCACAGCTCTTCGTTAAATGTATTTCAGATCCTCGGAGAGAAGGGAACTCTGGATGCGTATGTGGTACAGCAACAAATGGACACACTGGTGCACCTACTCCGATTCTACCACCGAAGTTTCGCCGATATCAAACAGGTGAGAACGCTTAATTCCTTTGGCCTTTGACTATATGAAGAATATAACGAGAAGAATTGCCATGAAATAAAAAGGTTAGGGTGCAAACGAAACGTTCAGCTGTGTTTGAGACTATGTGTTTGTCCGTCCCCTCTCGTCCCAGTCGAGGGGTTTTTAGTCAAATGCCCTAAATTACTGAGAGTAAAAAAAAAAAAAAAAAAAAACTCAATCTCTCATAGATTTTGCGAAATCGCCTTGTGCGCGCTGCCATATTTGTCTGCTGGGCTGTGGAACGCGCCTTCTGAGCATGCGCTTGTGCGTGTCTTCGGGAAGGCGTTCGCGCGAGCGTGAGTTTGCGTGCGTACGCATGCCTCTGAAGTTATAGATTTAATTTCTCTCGAGTCGAAAGCGTTTTGTTTTCGAAGAATGGTTTGTGTTTCAAAACTAGGATTCCTTTTTACGTTTTAGCGTCCTGTTTTACGTCTCAGTATTCGTGTTTTTTTGTGTTTTTTTTTAACATAAACGTTCTTCGCATGATTTTCTATGTGCGCCGATTTATGTCACATATTCGTAACGTGCAAATTGGGTAATTCTAAGCTACAGAATCTTTTTACGATAATGAAAGAACAGAAAGGAAAACAAAGTTGCGAATGAGCGAGCGAGTATAATGTATCGTAATTGTTCGCCAATATGCCTAGGAACTCTAGAAACTTGACCGTTTGTGCTTAGAGACAATTTCACTATTGTCGAGAGATTAAGTTATTTTAATTATACTAAGTTGGATATCACTTTCTACGCAATGAGTATAACAAGACGTATTCCCTTCCAGCGTTGTAGCAACAATCGGGAGTGGTTTGTGGAGAAGGTCAGGGAATTCTGCAATTCTTCATTATACGTATGCTGCAAGCTAGAGGACAGAGTTCACAACATCTTCCAGGCCGTGCCAGAACTGCAGCTACCCGAGGTAATTTTCTTTCTATAGTCACAGACAGGGCGAGAACGTGTAGAGTTTCAGTTGTCCTGCCTATAGCGCGAGACCTTCGATAACGCTTCGGTGTCTTGTCAGCCTTGAGTGTGCACGAATATCCAAAGCACGGCGTATAAGGCAACGAGCGCGTACTGGAGGACGTTGTCACTTTGTGAGTGACTCCAACATATTATCATTTCCACTCGAACGGCAAATGACAAGGTGCAATTTAGATTGTTCACTACGGCTGCTAACTTGGGATCTTCGACATACATCACAGAATAGTGGTTGCACTTGCATATCCGCACGTCGGCACAGTGCATGCTCATTTGTATTAAAAATAGTAGAGACGGGGGGCCTGTGCCCAGCGTTTCAGGAATTTGCAGCGCTCGTTCGTTTCATGCCCTCCAAGTTGCAATGTGCTATATAACACACCTAGAAATATTGACCTTTTATGTTTATACAAGCCTGAATACTCGTGTGAGCATATTGAGAACATATTTCTCTAGACATCCCTGAATATGACATATTGAAGTTTGGCATTCATCTTGCGCGGTGACGTTCGCGGACTGTGTTAGTATGCCGCGGTATATGGACGCGCAAGAAATAAATCTCCACAGGCATATGCTACGCGTGGAACCTTGTGATGCTGTGAACAAACGTTATTTCTACATTTACATCAGTTTGTTGTGGCATCTTTGGCGCTTGAGTAAAGGTGTTCTCTGATTTCATGCAGTAGTACGTGCGAAATTTACACACTGTTCACCTGCATCGCCTGATTTTACCAAGGTTTAGTTTGACTGGAATTGTACTGGGTTCGCGAGGAAACTTAAATATGATTACTTTTTGCACAGGGAGCGTCTGCTGTCTATGCCAGAGGCTACGCGTTGCTTGAAGAGTTCCAGACGCGTGCAGGGGTCCTTGCTGGTTGCATCATGTTTGAGGAAAAGTGAGTATGCAGCTTTTTCTTGTCGAGATATTTACTTTGATCTTTCGAATTATGTTGAATGTGTACCCGATCCTGCACGAAATTTACAGATAACGAGAATGCCTCATATTTGAACGTAGGGTGCTGGCAAGCCAGATGACCCCAGAGGTTACACGGTTATTGCAATTGGCAGCACACTCGAAAGATAGGGTAAGTGCATTAAAACAGTTACCTTGTAATTTGTGTTCCAGCGGATGCCATTTAGAGGTTGCTTAAAATTCATTATCTGAATTGCATGCTTTGTTCTTCATTCCAGTTGGCGATGGAGGACGTCCACGTTCGATACCAGCTGCCTCCTGGAGTAAGAATAGTTTGTGTCTATGTGACGCCAGCAAGGCTGAAGGACCTCGCATCAATCAACAAGCACTCTAACCAGGAACCCAAGGAATTAGATAAATATGCTGACCTGACTAGTGAAGAAGCCAGTTGCCCGAACAAGCCTGATGTTCCAGATGGCCCCGAACAAGCAATGGATACACCAGACGACTTTAGTCATCCAACTCGAGACGGCAAGAATGATTCCTTGAGCGACGTTGATTCGTCTCTGTCCTCGCAGACCACAACAAAGTCTCATGGAGGAGTTCCTTTCACGACCAACGTTCCGTCCACGACCGAGAAGCAAAGCCTCCCCGACAGTGACTTCCTCTCTGACTTCGACTCCGCGGAGGACATACGAGTCAAAGACGCTTGCATGGAAAGGCTCCGGGACCTACAGAAAACAGTGGAAGATTGTCTGAGGATTTCGGAGGAGAACTTGGCGCACACCATACTCCAGAGGAAGGCAACGCACCGAAGACATTCCAAGATGAGCCTCAGAAGACAAGCGACCATGTCGAATTTGTTCGAGAGCTGTAAGTTCTCCAAAACCACACACAAGAATCGCGAAAAATCCGCAAGTTGCGCTGGGCGTTACGACGACATCACCCAAAGTTACGGTGCATGTATGGGCTATGGCTCAGCGGGCTTGCTCTACCAGGCTGAAAATTTGCAAACTCCAGAGTTTTTCCACCACGAAAATAATTCACGAGTCATTCAGCCAAACACACATCCACCCGATAATTGTACGGAAGTCGTGATGTTTGAACAAGGAAACAACGTTTTGAGGGATCTGTACACCGACAAAGTAGAGGAGGCCTTGGCCAAACTGAAAAATCTTCGTTCAGTTTTCAGCGGCATCAAGAAAAAATCCTTGAGGGAAGATGGTGGTAGTTTCTCGATGATAAAAGAGACGCTCCTCAGAGCCAAGTGCCAAGCGTCGATGGAGCATCCCTTGGTGACCTCTTGCTTCGAGACATCTGTCATGACGGGCTTGCCCCCCGTAGTTCAAGTTGATCTGGTGGAACCACTCGAGGTCGGTGAGCACGGAAAAGGTTCCAGAGTCACAAGAGGTGACGTCACTACCACGCGCCAGGGGCCTCGTGCTCACGAAAATGGGACTCAACAACAACCGTTATCTCTGGAATCTTGTGAACCCCGTGATAAAAACGAAAATGAACACACTGCGTCCACAGGCCGCTGCAGAGGTGATAGGACTGACGAGGGCGAGCTGTGCAGGGTGACCTTATTCATCCAGAGACATTGCGGAATGGTCTGCATGGTCTTGTTAGCGCAAGGTTTCGAGGAAGATGAGAGCCTCGTTCAGTCTTTGGTGAGTATGACTGTTTTATAGAATCACTTTAAGCATCCTAGATAAGACAGTGAAGAAACTACGAGCATGAAAACGTTCGTATATATGTAGAATACTAGAAGAAAACTTCAGCTTTTCCCTTTGTTGCCAAACAAACATAGCAAAATATGTCGTCTTCAGCGTCGCTTTCTGTAATGAGCAAGGGTTAAGCTCCTGAAAAGAGTCGCACTTTTTTCCCGTTTTTGTTTATAAAACTGTTTACTAATACTTATTTATTGATTGTCGAAATGCATGGATATCACGAGCGAATAAACACGCAATTTGTGGAGCTCAATAAAGAGTAAAAACATTCGCTGCAAAAAAAAAAAAAATATATATATATATATATATATTACAATAGATAAGCTTCTGCGTGATTCATAGAGTACGAACGGGACGAGCGATCGTCGACTTTTCGTTTACTATTCAAAGCTCAGCTTTGAATAGTAAACGAAAGCTCAGCTTCAGTTTTTCGTTTACTATTCAAAGTATACACTTCGTGCGGGAACTATAGGGGGCGCTTTGAAAAACGCGCGCAGCGCCGCTAGCGGAGGAGCTGGCGTTCGACTGTGAGGCGCGTTCAGCAGCCTGCGGCGCCTTTTCGCATGCCAAGCTGTGGCGGCGGAAGCGCGCACGGACGAAACTTTTGCTTTTTGAACCAATAAGTTGAGGGTGACGTTGCATGAGTGCTGGGGCAGAAGGGCATTTAGCTGTTCTGGGGTAATTTCTCTAGTTGCGGCCGAAAAAGGAGTTGGAGGAATTTTCCGAAAAACAAGACGGCCGCTAGCATAATTGCTCTGAGTGGGAAATTTATTTCGCTCGTCGCTGTAAACTTAGGACTGCTGATACGATGATATTTGGAGGCGAGTGAGATGTTCACCAAGTTTGTGCACGAAGAGTGCCAGGTGAAAGTTATGTTTCTAACGAATAAAGAAATAAAGCTGTACGGGATATCCAATATTGGACCCAAAATGTTGTGTTGTAGCGGGCTGTGCAAAGTGCAGATTCGGGCACACAGGTGCTTGGACTTGACAGTAACATGACAAAGCACTTATTATACAAAAAAAAAAGGTGGCATAGGGAAACCAGGTGAAAATTTAGTTCGGGCAGCGTAACTAAATGGCAACCAGTTTTGACCGTGAAAGGCTGCCAAGATAATACCACTCATCGTGGGAGGTGCACACTTTACAGGTAGGAAGGGACCAGTGGACGGTACTTCCAGTTCGAACCACTTTGTGATAGGTGGCTCTAAAGCCGAGAAAAAACATTTTTGTCTACAGAAGTCGGGGTGTCAGCGTTTCCACATCCAAAAAAAGGCTGACCAAGAAAGAAAGCACACCACATAAACTTCCATACTCAAGCGTCGATTCTCCAGTGATTCCGAGTTTCATTGTTGTTTTCTTTAGATTCATATTTGTCACTTTTTTTTATCGTTCGAATCTTTCTTCGTGAAGTACAGATTGCGTGCCATACTTGTCCGGAAATATCATCGACACCCACGATGGAGACAAAACTTCTTTGCAGTTCATTCCTCCAACGAAATTGGCACTTCATACCCGCGAGTGTGGGATGGCATTTCAGTTCGTCCCATCGGCGCTGACACATGTAGGCGTTACTGGTACAAAAACAAACGCAGAGCGCAAAGCGGCAGTGTAGAATATGTCAGCCGTGCCGACACAGTAGCAGACATGATCGGGAGACCAAATGTCTCGCGTCATACGGCACGGCTCCATCGTTGTCGCTGTCCCGCAAAACATCGGCAAGGTGAAAATCTGTGAAACTTTGTCTCCACGAGAAACGACGCGTAACTATTAAATCACTTAATGACGCAGCACAGGCAGCACTTCATGCTGTGAACCCAGCGCAACCGCACCACTCCGACTTCAATGCGTACCAACGTACGCGGCGTGGTTTCGGTTTCGTTTTCTCTGGGGTTCTCACAGCCTACCTTCGGTACCGGCCGCGCGGCGGCGCGCCAGTCGCGTCGCACGGAGTGTATTGCGGAAGGTGCTCATATGGTGCACTCGCTCGAACAATATGATTTGGTGCTCGACATTACTCTGTACAAGTAAAACGCAAAGAGGCGCCAATGTCAAAGTCGCTAGCTTTCCGGAGCAGATGTCCAAGGTTCAGGGCTTGCCGCTATCACAGTTATTGGCAATTTTCAGAAATTTTTATTCAGAAACTGTTGGCTGACCAAGCCCTCGAATATATGGCGATGAATGGCGCCGGCTAACAAGGACGGGCCCGATTTTCTCATTGAAAATTTTCGAAACTTCGCTTATGACTTCTTAATCAGATAACAACTAGCTCTGAAACTTTGGCATCTGGTTCATACCGCTAGAGCTGTAATTTTGGGCACAGACTGGGCGTTCAGCGACGCGTAGATTAACTTTAAAACAAAAAAGTGTACTTTTTATATAAATATTTTATACATTTGCATGTTTTTTTTTTTTTTTTTTTTTTTTTTTGCGTGTTCTCGTCTTTCTTTAGTGGAAACGAGGAATCGGCGTGCTGGGAGACCTCGAGGTGGCAGCCAAGAGTTGGCAGCTGCAACCGGGAGAACTGGAGGCTGCGGATGCAGAAGGCCCACTGCGATTAGTCTACCACAGCAAGCTCCACACCTTCACTGGTATTTTTCTCCTATTATGCTATGTTGTCGTGGAAGAGTCTCTTATGTGTGTTTTTGTTCTAGGCTTTTTACTTACGTGTGTTAAAACGTATAAGGCTAACCTGCAGCTGGTGATAAGTATGAAAATCGGTTTTGACTTTCTCCATCTCCCGATATTTGCAAGAGGCACCCAGATTTGTGAACCTAGTGCTTGGATAAAAAGCAAACAGTGCGTTTGAACGAGTCCTTTTGTTTTAATACCGAATTATGCTGCTTTTTCTTTTTCTCTTACCCTTTTTTGTGGAAACACCCGGTCGTCATATAGAAATCAACGCGCGGAGAGTGAAGTGCATGTGCCGTCCTTCTTACATTGCAGGCGCATACGCGGGACGAGGCGCCCATTGGATTCAAACATTTAGGGAGAGTATAATCGGGATGTGCCGCAGTCTTCAGAATGCCTATTACGTGGAACAGGAGGTACAGAAGCGGCGACGGGCTGAGCTGAGCATAAAGCGCGATCCAAACCAACGCGTTTTTGTGCGCGCGTAGGCCGCGCGTTTCCCCGAAATCGCGTATTTCGTGACGTTTTTACTTTTTCCGGTGTGCTTTCTGAGTCACAACCCTGCGCGCTGACAGCCCTTTTTGGGCGCGTGCGCTCAAGGGGAAAAGTGTGTGTGTGTGTGTGTGTGTGGGGGGGGGGGGGGGGGGACCTACAGTAAAATACGAAACAGCTAAATACAGCTTGCAAGATACACCCATTTTTATGAACAACTATTTTAAAAAGTACAATGCATCAGTAATATCAACGTAAAAAGAAAACATTTTTATAAATATGTACAGGCACAGTAAAAAAAAAAAATTCTGGTCTATGTCGCGGATACAACAAATCAAGCTACTGATTTTATAATTCTCTCAGAGATAAAAAAGCACAAAGATTTTATAGACAAGTATTGGCATCATAAATGCTCCGTACCCAATTAAATTGCAGGACAGTGCACGCAAGGCACACGCACTGTGTTGCGTGTGACTTGCAAGTCACAGCAATGAACAGTACTTTTTTATTTCCATATTGAACAATATTTGACGTTTATACAAGTTTTTAAAAGCTAACCCAAGTTGGCCTCTGCCCAAATTTACAACTCTAATTTTCTGCACAAAATTGTCTTCGGTCGTAATATAAATTCGAAGCATTTCCCAGGTTGTGGTCCGTGGAAGGCATCTCAAAGCTGCGTTAGCTGTGTTGCAAAGCTAGCACGGCGGGGCTACCGCCGGAGGGATGCCATTGTAACTTTCCGTATTTCCTGGATGCGAGTTCCCTTAGCTTTCCATGCTCGCTCCGTCTCATTTCAGAACTGGAGTAAATTTTAGCCCGCTGGCTCTATCTTTAGATTGGTTGTTATATATCTGATCAAACTCAGCTTTGCATGAATACTCTCACAGTTAAAGACGAGTTTGACATACCTGCGAGAGTCGAGTGGAGGGCAAAGCCAATGTCCAATTGCTGGCTCTTTAAAGCCGGAGGATGATCAGGAGTGACGGAGACAGCAGGTCCATCGATAGATTCCGGGTCATGACACGGCTCTGAGGTCACATGCTTCTTCGTTGCACAAGATGGATCGTCGTTATCACTGTCAGCTTTCCGTTTTAAAAAAAGCTTCTGATGTCCATTTTCACTCCTGACCCATATCAGCCCACGGTAATAAAAAAAAAAAAAAAAGTGGGCTTGGGTGCGGAATGTGACCCTTTCAAGCAACTGGACCAGGAAGAGAGAGCCAGCAAGAGCAATGTGTGCCACCCTGTCACAGATATTCGAGTGTCACGCGTGTGAACACGATGGTGTCAAAGAGGACGGTCCGACACTCCTTTCCCGCGTGAGTTATGGCCCGGGGGGAGTGTCGTTGTTGGCATGGTGCGAACAGAGTTTCGCAGAACTGCATTGTCCAAAAGAAGACGCCTGGCCCCGATTTTGACCCCCCTCCAGACTTGTGCCCGTTAGTTGTAAAGAGTAATTAAGTACAATTACAATTACTTGGCCAACAACGTAACAGATTAACGTTACAAATTACTGGCTTTAAAATGTAATCGAATAATTACTTCGTTACTTTACTCGATTACTTTTCAATTACTTCGAGAAATACACGCAAAAACGCGGTTTTTCACTTGGTATTCCTGTATGCGGTAATAGGGTAACCTATTAGCTATGTGTAGACAAATATTACTAGCAGCAAATAATGGAGAAAGTCGTTTACGTTTTGTGTTTAGTTTTTAGTTTTTATTGCACATCAAAAGCAGATGGCATTGGAAGTTGAGGTCGTTCATCTTACCTTTCTTTCGGAAGAAAGAGGAAAAATGAACGGCCCTGAACAACGTGATGCGACTGCACGAGCGCGCGTGCTTGGCAGTGACACTGAAAGCCCGGAGTTCACTTGTGTAGCTTCTGCTACGCTCACACTTAAAGTGGAAACTGAGTATGGTACGTTTTAGAAGATCAAATATTTTACCAAATCGCACACCCATGTCGCTCATGTCACAATGGTATGCTTGGAAGCAGCATTACGAGCTGCCTATATCCGAAAATACAATTTGCGTAAACTCCCTCAGCAACTCGCCGTGGCTCCCCTGAGCTCAAATAAATATCAATATATTTATCAACTGTTCGAGGCGTATATTAGGCCGTCCCTCAGCGGATACACTCGGGCTGAAAAAAATAACCAAAGGCAATGTTGCGAGTGTGAAATTGGGATGCAAACGCCAAATCATAAACTCCACAAAAATCTTAAATTTCCTAAATCACTGGTTTCCACAAAATAAAACAAAATAATAATTAAAAATCGCTTACCTTTGCGTGCTTTAGTTGGTTCGAATTTGTGAACTGCGCAGATGAAAGAAGCTTTCTTTCGGGGAGGCAGAGTAGGCACTGAAACTCTAAATTCGCAGTTCCCTTGGTGCCTTTCAGTTTGAACATTGGATCCAAGGAGGGCCATGGCGACGGTGCAAGAGACATGCTGAATGCTCACTGCTGGGACCTCTCGCGTATTTTGTAGCCGTGGATCAGCGAGCTAGAGGCGGGACGTCAGTAGAAAATATTTAACAGGAGAAAAAAACAGTTCATATAGATAAAACATTCCTACATAAGTACGAGGAGAAAAAGAGAGTTAAGAGAAAGACAGAATTTGACAAGGGCTACACCCTACTAAGACTATGAGAACGCAAGATTCTTGCAAAAAAAAAAAAAAAACAATAGAAAACAAAGCTAAGCGAGAGAAACGAGAAAAAATTCGCAGAAAACTTCATCAGCGGATGTGGTCACTATTGTGAGTATCGTTCTCCAAGACGACACTATAGTCAGTTACAGGTCAAGAAGGTAGCGGCAAATGCCCCTCAAAGGGAATCAGATATTCCTCCGCCACCTCGGCATCCAATAGCGTTCCACCGCTTCCGTGACGTCGCGGCCAACGCGCGAGGAAGGGCTTGCCTTTCTGTACATATTTGCTTTATCTTTCGACTTTTACTTAGCATTGTGGAAGGCACGAGAGGGAGATTAGAGTTCTCCCCCACCGACGGAAACAAATACGACTTTCGGGGATTAGCTTCCCCCCCCCCCGATGGATACAAAAGCTGCTTTCAGGGGCTCGGTTCCCTCTCTGATAAATACAAAGGTCGCTTTCTTAAAAAGTGGGATCGGAGACAAGTTGGAATCCACTGAAGCGGAACAAGGAGTGTTTCCAGTGAACTCTTCTTTCGACTGCGGAGAGATTTGAAACGGGCGCATCACGCTTGTGGGAGGAGCTTCTCCTACCTTCTTGACTTGTAACCGACTATAGGTTCGCTTGTAGGCTGAGCTATGGCTCTAGTGTTGGTCTCTACTTGACCAGAAAGCTGGAAAACTTGAGTCTCCATCACGGGAAAGAAACGACATGCTTTCTTCGCCGTGTAACAAGAAAATATAAGAAAAATGCCACGTAAAACCGTCAGAAGGCACTGAAGTTCTACAATCGTTCTTGGAACTGGACGGCATCTGGCCTTTTGCCCCGTAACGCCCCGTATTTGGAACTCACAGCGACTTCCATTCCTTCCCCGCACAAAACGCAAACAAGCAAAAATAGGAGGGGAGTCTGACTCCCCACCGTCCTCTGTGCACACGAAGTTGTAGTGGCTACTGTTTTTATTTAAAGAAAAAGACGCGAAAGAGAGCTATGAGTTCAACTTCGAGCTTGTTCTCAGGGTGCTGCTTACGTATTTATTCACGTCCTTCCGCTTCTGAAATCTGAGCGCGGGCTGGGACTGGATCGCACAAACTTCCCGATAATGATCTAAGAAAAAAGAAACAGCAGACGCAGCAGACCCACGCCACAGTTCCAGTTTGGGAGATCCGTGTCATGTGACATTTTTATGGGCCATTACTCTTCTATTCTTCTTTCGCCCTACTCCGAATCAAGTGCCCAAGGCTCAGAAGGGGCTTCTCTTTCTGAGAAAAAGCGACCGAAACACGGCGTTTTTGCATTGTGTAAGCGACCCTTCGTTTGTCTTATGAAACCTCTCTAGTTTTGTGAAGACTCCCGTTTTCTTTCTTTCTCTATTTCTGTCGGGGCCCTCCTCTTGTTATCGTGCTGAAGGGACAGCGGAGTTGACTCCCCCAACTCCCCCCTCTGTTTCCCACTTTCCACCTTCTTTTTTTTCTTTTCCGAGTTCCCCTCACAAGCTTTTGACTTCAGTCTATGTGCCCGCGCTCCTCCCCCCCCCCCCCCCTCTCTTCTTTCCGCCCCAACTACTAAAAAAGTAATGGAATTACGTTAGAAATTACATTTCTAGAAAAGTAACAGATTAATTACAAAATTGCTCAAAAAGTAATTAATTACAAGTAATCCCGTTACTTGTAACGGATTACTTCCAAGTCTGCCCCCCTCTTCTCCTTTCCCATGGCCGCAGCATGCTACGGGCAAAGGAGAAGAAAACCCCAAAGGCACATGTACAAAACAAAGCACTGGCGTGAGCAGTGGCGTAGACAGGGGGTTATTGTG